GGTATTATACTTTTCGGGTTATCTCCGGCACGATTAAGAACGCAATCCGGATATCTCTCTCCCAAAGCAATGTTCCTGCGGCAGTGAATAAGTACCAAATATCTATTATGCCGTTGCTTTCAATCTAATTAAATTTCATTATTGTCTCGTGAAAGGACGGTTAATGAAATCCGATATCCAGCTTCTAATTAACTGCCTGTGACGCTGAGCTGAAACTGCTCATCTGTTTTCCGCGCACACATACGGTCGGGGCGGACGCTCCAATACAGTGCTGGGGGCGTGGGGGGGTGGGGGGGGTTTGGGGGTGGGGGGGAAAACGGTGCATTATCGGAGGCGCTACCTTGGATGAAACACTCAACCTGACTCCCCGTTCCGTGCCCCGTTCAGACGGAGGTCACAGACCCCCCCCCCGGTCTGTGCCGAAAAGGCCACCGCAAGTAAAATCGGTCACTCCCCTCCGCGGCCCTCGCGCGGATCGTCTGCCGCGTTTCGCCCCCGAAGCGTACAGTCGCTGGACGGTGAGTTCCGCGAAGCGCTTTGAGGTCCAACCGAAGCGAAATGGACTTCTTCCGTGGATGGATTTCTTTCAAGAATGATTAATACCGTGGGACACAGCGCACAGCCGGGGGCGTGACATGCAGGCGCGGCCGACCCGCGGGATGGCGGAAGGCGAACTGGGTGGAGTTTTTTGGTCTCCTGTCGTCGAGCAATTGTTATGTTCTTATCATTATCTTATCGTGATTGTCATTCTTTTTATTGTCATTATTATTACTGTTGTTACCACAATTATTATTAACGGATTGTTACGTGGATGTGAGTATCTATTATTGTGATTATAATTATTGTTATTATTATATTATAGTTATATCACTATATGATTAAACTAATATTTGATTATTATATTTACATTGCTATGTTATTATACGAATATTTTATTATTATATTGATATCACTATATTATTATACTAGTATTTTATTATTATTACTATATTATCATCGTACTGTCATTCTAATTACTCGTGGTCGAGGCTGGACTTGAACCGCTCACCTGCCTTACAGAAGGGCCCGTTGTACGGGGACTGGCTGCAGTCACAGGAGTACCCGCTGGGCCTCTCTGTACACCGGCCCCCGTTGTGGCACAGACTGCCGTAGCTGCTGCAGTGCCCCGGGCAGCCGGCCGTTACCCCGGGGGTCACTGTGGCTCGCTCCTCCAGGTCCAGGCTCGCCCCGTTCAGCCGCACGGACCGGATACAGCCCAGGAAACCCCTCTGCCTCGAGGCCGTCCCTCCTGGGGGGGGGGGGGGGGGAATCAGAGCAGCCGACACGGAACACGTCAAGAACATGTCAAAACTTAGCCCCCCTCCGGGGTCACACGTCGCGCCACACATGCGCGCTCTCTCTCTCTCTCTCTCTCGCTCACATACAACACGCAGTCTCTTTCTCTGTCTCGTACACTATCTCTCTCTATACATACACCTCACTCTGTCTCACACACACACACACACACACACACACGTACACTATCTCTCGCTCTCGATCTATTGCTCTCACACACGCACTCACACCCTCCGTTCTCTCTCTCTGTCTCTCTCTCTCACACACACACACACTATCTGTTTCTCGGTCCTCCCACGACTACCTTTAAACTGCGAGAGATCGAGCCGAGAGCCAACCGATAACGTCGCCAGTCAGGCGGACGGTTGGCAGATCTTATCAGTGATCTCGGACGTGATAACCGGCGCCTGTACCACACCTCCGAGATGTCTCAAAGCGGCTTCGCAGGATTTCGAAACATATGGGTGACGTCCCACAAACAGCTACGGAGCGAGTGGTGGGGGGGGGGGGGATATTGTCGGAGAGAGAGAGAGAGAGAAAGACTCCCTTCTCTTTACGAATAGCCCCACGGGCTCTTTAACGTCCACCTGGACTGGCAGACGGGAGGGGGAGGGGGGGACGTGGTGGGGTGTAGGGAGTGGGAGGGGGTGTGGGGTGTAGGGAGGGAGGGGGGGAATTGTACCCACAACTTCTGGCTCGGAGGCCGGAGCGACTACCGACCGAGCCAAGCTGGACAGACGGCACCACTTACCTTTTATGTGTATTTTACGTGAAAGTTATCGCAGGTTGTTTTTAGTCTATAAAAATACTTATCGGGGGCCGGCGGGGAGCGTGGGGGGTGGGGAGGAGAGGAGAGGGGGAGAGTGGTGGGGTCGGGGGGGGGGGGAAGAGGAGAGGGGGAAAGAAACGCACCAACAACCCCAGTTCGTGACATGTAACACCACAAGAAAAAGGGGCTTAAACGTTTCTAAACTCACATTACATCACAGGGTTTTTTTTTTTTTTTTAAATGGTTTCGGATTCCCAGACCTCATTAAATTAATGGCTATTTATTCGCCACGTCGTCCCTACCCTCGAGTCCGCCGAGCGGCGAGTAAATTAAACGCTGGCAACCGCAACGGCCTTTTAATGGCCCAATAATTGCTTGGCTTTCCGACAACGGTTGCGCGCAAACCGTTCCCACTTAATTAAGTGCGATATTACTTTTTTTACGCGCGATCCGGGGGTGGTGGTGGGGGGGGGGGGGGGGGGGCGGTGCTGAGCGGTCTGCGGGAAAGGAGGCTCGCGCTGCTCGGTTTGGGAAGCAACGCCGCGAATGTTGAGCTCGCTCGGAGCCCGACCCGACCCGACCCGACCCGACCCGCGTTTCGCCCTTAAACGTCACTGTTCCCGGCGTTTGAGACGTCTCGAAGCTCTTCGCGGGGACTGTCCGCGCAGTGAGGCGCAGGGGCTTGCGTATTCGCAGCTGAACGATTGGCCCCCCGTCCTCGCACCCCACACAACCCCCCACCGCCGCCACCACCCGCGCGCCCACCCACTGGGCTCCACTGGCTCCCCATCAACACACGCGCACATACACGCGCACATATACACGCGCACATACACGCGCGCACACACACGCACGCACACACAACCTACCCACAAACAGCTGGCTGCTGAGGCGCAAGTGGATGTGTCCGTCAGCGGGGGCCGGGCGGGTTTGGCGGGGGTGGCGGTCCACTCGCAGAGACGCCTCCCTGACGTTGCGCTCGGCCGTGAGGTAATGCCACTGGTTGTCGTTCAGCCGCCCGGGGGTCCGGACGGTGACATCCGTAGGTCCGTTGCCGACATCGAAGGAGAACAGCACCTCTGTCGGGGCTTGGGGGGTGGTGTGGGGGAGAGAGGGAGGGGGGAGGGGGGCAGAGAAGGGGAGGGGAGACCATTATTTTGTCTGTTTTAAAGGTCTGCCTGTCAGCCCAAACATTATCATCATCGTCACCATAATAATTAATAATAATCTTTGCAGTGGATGCAGCGCCTCATCACGTCTTCGAGACGTCTCAAAGCGCTTCGCGGGATCCGCTGTAAAGTGAATTGACTGTGTATTTTGTGGGCGAAACGCGGAGAGTAGGGATGCAGGACAAGGGTAAAGGGGGAGGGAGGGGGAGGCGATGGTGGGGAGGAGGGGAACCCCACTCACAGTTGAGGGTGGAGGGGAGAGTTGAGGGAGAGGGTTGGGGTGCAGGCTACGGGGGTTGGGGTGGGGAAGCACCTGAACCCCATTAACAGTTGAGGGAGGAGGGGAGAGTTGAGGGAGAGGGTTGGGGTGCAGGCTACGGGTGATGGGGGGTTGGGGTGAGGAGGCACCTGAACCCCATTAACAGTTGAGGGAGGAGGGGAGAGTTGAGGGCGAGGGTTGGGGTGCAGGCTACGGGTGATGGGGGGTTGGGGTGAGGAGGCACCTGAACCCCATTAACAGTTGAGGGAGGAGGGGAGAGTTGAGGGCGAGGGTTGGGGTGCAGGCTACGGGTGATGGGGGGTTGGGGTGAGGAGGCACCACTCACAGTTGAGCTGGAGCCTGATGAAGTCCTTGATGCCCAGGTTCTCCAGGAAAACGCCCGAGGAGGCGGTGGTCTTGAAGAAGAAGGAGATGTCGGCGCTGAGCTCGCCGCGGAAGGTGGGGAAGTGCAGGTACGAGGAGCCCGAGCTGAAGGAGGCCGCGTTCCAGTAGCTTCCTGTGCGGGCGGGAAGTCAGGTCATCAGCGCCGACGACGACAACAACGACGACAACGACGACAACGACGACAACGACCGCAACGACGACAACAACAAACGCGGTCCCTATAATCATCGGCGCAACGGGGGAAACGTTAATCAGAAATGGCTTCAACCACAGCTCCCAAAACAACCTCACGGTAGACGTCAGAAGGAGTTCCATTCTTTTAAATAAAATACTAATAAAACCAGGTGTTATTTATTATTATTATTATTATTTATTATTATTATTATTATTATTATTATTATCCTCAACACCCTCCTTAGGGTTGAAGAGGTTCCTGCTAAACGCCCTCTCGGATCTGCCGTCGAGCAGCTCACAACTAATCCACACCCCCGTTGACTCCCCTTTCCTCTCTCCATAGATGCCGCCTGACCCCCCCACCACCCACCCACCCACCCACCCACCCCGACGCCCCCCCCCCACCCCGCGCTGAGCGATTCCCAGCCCCTCTTCTGGGGGTGGGGGTTACTTACGGTCGCCCTGACAACGCAGCGGGCCCAGCGTGTACGCGACCTCGGAGCTGCTTCGGTTCAAACCCCCGATAAGGAGTTGGGTCACCGGCAGATGGTCTTTGTGAGAGAGGAAACCCCTGTCCTCGGCCCTGTCCGAAAAATATAACGGTTAAGAAACGACCGTAATCCTAGGCCTCTTCCCGCGTCCGCGGCGGTGGGGCGGGGGCGGGGGGGTCCCAAAGTGTCTTCCCGGGACACCCCCCCCCCCACCCCCCCGGTCGCGAGTCGATCCACGGACGGCTTTTCCGGGGGTAATAATCCCTCCGAAAGAAAAAACATGCGGTCACTTCGCTCCCCGGCTGTTGGCGCAATTGGCTGCCGCGTTTCGCCCCCCAAACCCCCACCACCCCCCCCCCCCCACTCCCGAAACACACAGTCGCCAAACCTCACCGTACCATTGGTCCCGGTCAGCGTCGCAGTTGCAGCCGCGCTGGGGGTCCGGGCAGCTCCCGTCCAGTCCACAGCCACATTCCTGGGCCCCGGGGGTCGCACCCCCCAAGTACGTCTGCTTCTCGTTGGTCCTCCCAATCCACCACGTCAACGGGGTCTCACCTGAGGGGGGGGTGGGGGGAGAGGGTGGGGGGGGTAAGGGGGAGAGGGGGGGTACAGAGAGAGTGTGGGGGGGGGGAAAGGGGAGAAACAATCAATTGGGTGGGGAGAGAAGGAAAAGGGGGCAAGGACCCTTCCCACTCATCAGCAACAACAGCAACAACAACCCCTCACACAGGATAGCGCCCCAGAGCGCTTGACGGGGGTGGAGCCCATCGCTGAGACCCTTGTTCAAAAAGGGAAGGGAGTCTCTCTCTCTCTCTCTCCCCCCCCCCGCCGCCCGGTGTCCTGGGCCGACATTCCCCCCCACCCCCCCCCCCAAATAAAAAATCGGCCGCTCAATCCACGGCTGTTTGCGGGGGCGCTGTCTGTGCGCGATCGGCTGCCGTGTTTCGCCCACAAACTGCACAGTCACTGCACTTTACAGCATATCCCGTGAAGCGCTTCGAGACGTCCGGGGGTAATACGCTCACACACCCACCCGCTCGCGCTCACACACGCACCCGCTCGCGCTCACACACGCACCCGCTCGCGCTCACACACACACCCGCTCGCGCTCACACACGCACCCGCTCACGCTCACACACACACCCGCTCACAACCACTCGCACTCACACTCGCGCGCGCGCACACACCCGCTCACACACACGCGCCCTCGCACACACTCACACACGCCCTCGCACTCGCGCACACACACTCGCACGCAATAGCCTTACTTTCTTTCGTGAAGCGACTATTGCCCCCGGAAAAGCGATCCGCCAGTCGACTCACAACCGGGTTCCTAGTCCCTGCCGGGTAAACAAGTGCGCGTGGCGGAAGGAAACTTGCCCGACGTGATGCCCTGACCCGACCGGCCCGGGGATCGAACCCGGGTCCTCTCGCTCGCGGGCGGCGAGGGCTCTAACCCCCCCCCCCCGAGCTACGGGGCAGTCATTCTGACGTCCGGCGTTAACTTCGACACCGTCAAAGCCGCAGAATAAGTAACGCTCGGCAGCGCTGCCTTCTGCCGTGCCCTTCACGGTGATAGAGGTGCGGAGCTGAGTGAATCACCAGTGGGGGTGAGAGTAATGAGACCTCTGCGCTGATATGTCACTGACGCATCGCACTGCGGAGCTGTTTAATTGCTCCACTTGTCTCGGTGCTCGCCAAGCCCGGCATCTTAATCACTGTAATGGGCAGCGAACGAGGTTGTCTACAGTGCCCTCTCTTCTTCTCTCCCTTGTCCCCCCCCCCCCCCCACCCCGCCCCACCTCCGTTCTTAACCCCCGGGGCACTAAGAAAAACTCCCTTCAGCGTTCGACTAGCGCTGTGGGATCTTTACCGTCCACAAACTCGGTTTGACATCTCATCCGAAGGACGGCACCTCTGACCATACATAATTCCAACCCCCCCCCCCCACCCCCCCCCCCCCCCCCCCACACACACACACACACACACACAACCCCCCCCCCACTCACACCCCCAGCTCTGCATTGGAGCATCAGCCTTGACTGTTCGAGTCCAAAGTCCCCGCATTTCATACACAAGGCCTCTCGTGCAGTCAAGACATCTCAAAGCTCTTCACAGAATAAAGTGGAGTGACTGTATATATTGTGGGTAAACAGAGGCGTGTGCGTGTGCGCGTGTGTGGAGTAAGGAAACTTGCCTAAGGTTTGGCCCTGACACCTCCCGGGAATCGAACCCGGGTCCCTCTCGCTCGCGAGGCGTACGCTACAGCTTCCTTCTGACTCGGAAGACGGCCGATCAGGGGACCGACAGACTGCGCGCGGGAACAGCCGTCCGAGCGACCCGTGAGGCTGCACGACATCCGCGCGCACGGCGCTCGAACAAATAAAATCCAGATGCGCGCAGCGAGGCACGGCTCCATCTTACACAAGAACCCCCCTCCACTCCCCCCCCCTCCTCGTGCAGACAGCTGGACAGCATCAATTTTAATCAGAAGCAAACTCATCGCTGCCCTTCCCAGTGTGTGACTACACCGGACGCCGCTGAATAAGTAATGAATTTGCTCGCACGGTAAATTCAGATTTACACACAGCGGTTTGTTTCACCGAGCAAACCGGCAAAACACACAGTCACTACACTTGACAGCACATCGGCCTGCGAGGCTCTTTGAGCCGTTAGCGGAGCTGTAGGATATGCGGTGAGACATCGTAAGGAGTTTATGACGGTCACCGTAGCGGAGTGTAGGCTCATCATTAGGCGCTTTGTTGATGATTAAGATTAACTCATTAATTCATCGAATAATTAATTAGATTAAGAGGGGGGGGGCAGGAAGGGGGGGGCAGAAGAGAGAGACAGAGAGAGAGAGAGAGAGAGAGAGAGAGAGAGAGAGAAAGAGAGAGAAAACAACACGCAATCCCTATCGATTCGCTTAACATTTAATTCTCGGGAAGAAGAATGAGGCTATGTGTTGGCGACGTCGTTGGTAGCAAAGAGGAACAGTGACATTTAATGCTATTTATAACCGAGAGATTAAATTTCTGGGGCTAACGCGATGAATCCAGACTTATCTCTTCGACTGCGCCTTTTCAGTTACCTTTCTCCCCCCTTCCCCACCATTTTCATTCCCACCCCACTCCCCCCGCCTTCACCTAACTCCATTGCCCAGCCAACAGCGTCAAGTGCTTTGAGACATCCTCCTGTTGACATGGAAAGGCTCCGTGTAAACGCAAACTGTTGGCGTCATTGCACGTCTTGACCGACGGCTTCGAGTTAACGTGAAGCTAACCAGCGCTCGAACGCAACTCGCACCTCGCTGTGCGTCTCGCGGGTGAAGGCCTCGGCGCGATAAGGCGCTGCATCAAATAATCAGAACAATCCGCGCATCGGACACCACGGCTTATCACGCCGTCGAGTCGTCTCACAGCGCTTCACAGGATAGGCTGTAAAGTGGAGTGACTGTGTATCTCGTGGGCGAAACACCGCACGGGCTGCGTCCCCCACCACAACCAGCTGTGGATTGAGCGACCAATTTTTGAGCTCAGTTCAACGTCTCTCTCTCTCTGTTAACAATAGCGCCACTTGGTCTTAAGCCCGCGAGCGGCTGCAAGGCGAGTGGGTTGGTGGGTGGGTGGGGGGGTGGGGGGGGGCGGAGGAATCTCGAGGGAACGCCAGATGGGGGCGCGAGCACTTGCCAGGGCCGTGCCGAAGGCGAGCGTTCCTGCAGCGGTAGGTCAGCTCCTGCTCACAGTGCTCGGCGCTGTTGATGATGTTCCTCAGCTGGTTGGGGTCGGCGGGGTAGGCAAAGTGCGCGGTGTGCGGGCTCCGAGACGGGGACCCGCGGAGGCTGGTAGTCCCCGTGTCGTTGTGCTGAATTATTGTCCAGGTTGTATCTTCTGCCCAACAAACAAACAGACAAACAAACAAACAAATCACAGAGTCGATCGAGTAATAATTAACCCTCGCATTCGCCAGTGCCTCGGGACGTCCTCCCGACGTGTCGCCGAGGCGGCTCGAAGCGCTTGGCGGAACGCGCCGCAAAGTGTATTTGCGGCCGCGTGGGTTGCGGGCGAAACGCGGCAGCCAATTGCGCACGGCGGTCGCGGATGGATGAGGGATCGTCACCCCCACGGAAAGCGATCCGCCAGTCGGCTAACAACCGGGTTCCTACTTACTGCCGGGTAAGCAGAGGCGATCGAGCGCATGCGTGTGCGAGTGCGAGTGTCCGCGTGTGCACGTGCGCGCGCAGAGGTGAGGAAACTTGCCCAAGGTTTCGCCCTGACCCGCCCGGGAATCGAACCCCGGTTCCTCTCGCTTGCGAGGCGAGCGCTCTAACCCCTTGAGCTACCGGACTTACCCGACGTGCTTACAGACCTGTCATGTTGCAGTAAACCAGCAAAGCCCCTGAGCCCCGCTGCCATCGGGGTCGATGTAGAAGAAGCCTGACGTGTTGCCCATGTGTTTGTACGTCTCGCAGGACTGTTTGTACACGGCTTCGGAGAGAGCGAGAAAGACACACGCACACGCACGCACGCACACGCACACGCACGCACACACACGCACGGTTTAATTGGCAGAGCAACGCACAGCAAACCGCAGAACACAGCACCCAATTTGCGCACAGACCCGTCACCCGAATAGCCACGAAGAGAACGAGCAATTTTATCCGCCAATCGACTAACAACCGGGTAACCACAGGAAGGAAACTTGCCTGAGGTTCAGCACCGCCGCCCCCGCTCCCCCCCACACCCCCCGCCGCGCCCGGGAATCGAACCCGGGGCCTCTGGCTAGGGCGAGCAAGCGGCGTTAGCCACTGAGCTACGTGACTTCCTTCATTTAGGGTAACCTCTCCGAGTGCGAATTCACTGACTGAACGTTACTCACATCTGTGGCAGGTCTCCCCGGTGTATCCTGTCCCCGTGCAGTCACAGTAAAAGCCGCTCCAGGTTTGCGAGCACTCCCCCCCGTGCTCGCAGTAGTTGGGCAAACACCTACAACAACGACGACGGTGACTTTATTTAGGGCCCCAAATGCAGGGTAGGGTTAGAGAGAGAGAGAGAGAGAGAGAGAGAGAAAGAGAGGGCCTTCCCACCCAGTGTCCTCTTCCCCTCTGAACCCAATTTCTCCATTCACCCGGGGGCAGATAATAATAATAATAATAATAATGACCCATGCATTTAATACAGCGCCTTATCACGACTTTGAGACGTCTCAAAGCGCTTCACAGAATACGCTGTAAAAGTGTAGTGACTGTGTATTTTGTGGGTGGAGCGAGCAAACTATTTATGAAGGTTTTTTTTCGGAAGGGACTCTTACCCTCGGGAAACGATCCACCCATCGACCAACAACCGGGTTCTTACTGACTGCTTGTGTGTGCGTGTGGAGTAAGGACACTCGCCCGACGTGTCGCCCTGACTGACCCGCCCGGGAACCGAGCCCCGGGTCCTCTCGCTTGCGAGGCGAGTGGGGTAACCACTTCGCTACGATCGAACCTTGAACGAGGGGAAGGAGGGAGACAGAAGGACTAAAATATCCTATTACCTGTCCATAATTCCGCACGAGTCCATCTGCAGTTGACTGAAGTTGCCCCGCAGGCCTCTCTGGACCAGGCTGAGGTCAATCAACTGGTCGTCGATGGAAAAGAGCTGCATGCAGCCCCGGAAGGTTTCGGAAGGCGTCGAGCATCCAGGGCCTCCGCGGCTTTCAGGGCAGCCTGCGAGGAGAGGCGAGGAGAGGCCAGGAGAAACGGTTGGGGAGAGAACGCACGAGGCAGAGAAAAACGTCAGGAGGACATCCCAAAGCGCTTCACGGGACTATGCTGTAAAGCGCGGCGACTGCGTCTTCTGTGGGCGAAAACGCGGCAAGCGATTGCGCCCGGCAGCGTCCCCTCAACCAGCCATGGGATTGAGTGGCCAAATTATTATTATTATTATTATTATTATTATGTTTGAAGGGATTATTACCCCCAGGTTCCTGGTTGTTCCAAAAAAAACCTTCACAAACAGAGGCCTGTGGCGAGGACACCGAGGAAACTTGGCCAACGCTTCTCCCCGGCGCGGGGAATCGAACCCGGGTCCCTCTGGCCTGCGAGGCGAGCGCGTTCTGAACCCCCGCTGAGCTACGGGGGGACTCCAACGCTCGGGGAGAAAGGACCGCCAGGACCCACCTCCAAACCAGTAGTCGCTCCCTGAGTAGATGTGCCTTGGTGAGGTCGCGTGAACAGCGGAGGTTCTGTCGCCGTTCAGGGTGACGGTTAGACGACTCGCGTGGCTCTGTATGTCCACGGTGTGCCACCGTCCGTCGTTCAGCCCAGAACCTGCCGCGGCCAAACACAGTTTTACCCGGTTAGACTCCAGCAACGACGACGACGACAACAACTCGTGTTTAACCCAGCGGCCTTCATGCGGGGCAGTGGCGGAGCATGACTCCGAGCCGGCGGGAGAGGGAAGGGGGTGAGGGTGGGGGGGGGGGAGGTGACGTTAAGCCCCATCGAAAAGGAAGGTCTTTAGCCGGGATTTGAAAGTGGGGAGGGAGGGGCGAGACGGAGGGCTTGGGGGAGAGAGTTTCAGAACTTCGGGGCAGGGGGGCAACATGGCCCAAACTCTCCCCCACACCCCCTTTCTCTCTCTCTCTCTCTCTCTCTTTCAGCTCTCCGACCAAGGACAGGACCCGGCAACGGAAGAGGGTCAGCAAACAGGGAGATCAGAAGGAATCACTTCACACCCAGTGTGGTTGGGGTGTGGCGTGTCCTGCTGGGGGGGAGGGGGTTGAGGCGGAAATCCATACTAAGCTTCAATGGCAAGCGACGCTGTTTTCGCCGGTTAGACCCCCACCACACACGACCCACACTCTGGGCTCAGCCCCCCACCCTCCCGAAGCCTTGGCTCTTGCCAAAACTCCACCTGATATTGGAGGGTGTGCAATGGAGTACTTCTAAACGATGATCTTTATTCTTCCGCCCGTGTTTCAGGTGTTGTCGGTCACAGGAAAAAAATACATGGGCGGGGGGCGGGGGGCTGGAGGGGGGTAACAGGGCTTTGTGTGGGAGGGGGGGTGGGTAACACCCCGTAGGTAGCCACAGCAACGTCGAGTGAGGCAGAGTGACCGAGCGCTGAGGTGAAGGCGCGAGATATTTGCCTCTAGTCTCACAACGCCACTGGAGACGGTCAAATTCACCTGCGGTGACGGCGGCCGGACTCGGCGAGGAGTTCCGGAGGGTTATTCCCAGTTTCCCGTTGCTGATCCGGACGCGGAGAGCCCCGGCTGTCCCGGGAAGTCGGCTGTACAGCAGCAGTCCGTCCCCGTTCCACGTGCGGAACTGGAAGCTGAGCGACAGCCCATCCATCCGGGGCCGCCCCGGGAGCACCAGGTAACTGACCGAGCTGCCAAACGTCACCGGCACCACCGGGGCCTCCCAGCAGGAGAAGCTCACGTTCCCCTGGGAATGGGGGGGGGAGAGGGGGGAGCGGTGGGAGGGGGTGGCAGGGGGAAGAGGGTAGTGGGGGGGGGGCGGAGAGGGGGAGAGGGGGAGAGAGGTGGGAGTGAGGGGAAGGGAGAGGGGCGGAGAGTGGGGGGAGCGCGGGGAGGAGGGGAGGAAAGGGGGAGAGGAGGGGGTTAGAGAGGGGAGGAGAAGCGGTGAGAGAGGGGATAGAGAGGGGAGGGGAGGGGGGGTGAGTGGAGCGAAGGGAGACGGGAGATTGGGGGGGGAGGGGGAATGGGAGGAAAGGAGAAGAGGGGAATGGGGAGGGGGCGAGAGCGACGGCAGAGAGGTGGGGGGAGGAGGAGAGGGGGAAGGAGAGGGGGAAGCGAGGAGCGAGAGAGGGGGGGCGGAGGGTGGAGAGAGAGGTGGGAGGGGGGTATGGGGGGGAGGGATAGGAGAGAGAGGGAGGGAGAGAGAGAGAGAGAGAGAGAGAGGTCAAATGGAAATGGTATAAACCCCACATTAGCCACATTTGGAGTATTGTCGTCCAATTGCGGTCACCGCTCTACGAGCAGTAGAGAGGCAGCGATTGAGAGAGTACAGCATCGGTTTACTAACGAGGGAGGGAGGGAGGGAGGGAGGGAGCGTGACAAGGCCCCCATTAAATATAATTCAAGGCAGTTCGAGAGCAGTAAACGGCCGTGCATTTTGGGAGGCGGCCGAAAAAAGAGTGCTTTGCGGAGAAGCTCACGGGAGGGAGTGGGGGAGGGAGTGGGGGGGGTGGTGTGTGGGGTGGGGTGGGGGGGGGGGGTCAGGCTGGCGGGCTGTGGCTCGACAGCGAAGAGCCCGTTCCCCCGAGCAGCGCCGCGAGCTTCATTCAAATTCCTTCTCCCTGGAAAGTGACAAATTAACGCTTCCAACAGCATTAACCGAGAGAAGCAATTTGAGGTGCACAGAGCAAATCGCTCAACAGCCTTAGCTGCAGCTGAGGGGGCGCTTAATCATTCTCACTGTCGCTCTCTCTCTCTCTCTCGCTTTCTATCTCTCTCTTTAACTCTCTCTCTCTCTCTCTCTCGCGCTCTCTCTCTCTCTCTCTCTCTCTCTCCCTTCGATTTTTTCCAAGCCTCTTTTCGACAGCGTCCTCGCAATGCGACGCGCACGGCGCCTCATCGCGGCTTCGGGACCGTCTCGAAGGGCTCCGCAGGACGCGCGGTGAAGTGGCCGGAGCGCGGCAGCCAGTCGCGCAACGGGGGGGGCGGGGGGGGGGGGGGGGGTGGATGGATCCCCACGAACGGTCGCGGATCGAGCGACCAAATTCTCATTTGACGCTCGCGCTCTCCCCACCTCTCTGCAACGGTGGCCAATAATATTAATAATAATTATCTTTGCATTCGCTATGAAAGCGTTTAAGCCGTCAAGTGGATTGACTGCGCGTTTATGGGATGAAACGATGCAACAGTGAGCTCCGGGTGGAAACGGCTGGTCAGGTTCACCTGCGAGAGGGAAAGTATCCCTTGGATCATTGAGCTGCCCGTTAGCAGAGAGGAACAGACACTCTCGCACCTCTCGCCAGTTTGGCACCGGCCCACGGACGCCCCTGACAGATCGGTTCCTGCCTCGCGCCCAAACCCTCCGTAAATCATCACCTCGAAGAAACAGCTGTTTCTCAGCCGAACAACAACTCGGAAATGCAGCAAATTTCGCTAAGCTCTGGATTCACTTTTTTGGCGCGCTCCGATTTCCTCCTCTCCGAGAGAGCCATCGATCCGCGGCCGTTTAATTGAAGGCAAAATTCCCCCACCCCACCCCACCCTCCTCTCTCTCCTCGATCTAACCTTGAAGTCCCAGCCCAAAAAAAAACCTCTCTCTTCGACCAGGCAAAGACCTGTAACATAGGCTATTGTACTTGTTACCCTCTCTGCTAGGAGGGTCAGGGAATCCTCCCGCTCAGCTCCCGTTAACCCTGCAAGCCAAAGCCCGAACCACTAGGGTGGTCCTAGCTGCCCGGTGCTCTCGATGGCAAGCTATGTTAGCTTGTCTGACTCCAGCAGACACCCTCCCACCACCACACTCCGGGCTCCCCCCCTTTCACCCCCCACCCCAAGCCTTGACTCTTGCCAATCTGTGCCTAATACTCTCCAGAATAAGGGGGCTGCGTCCCTACCAGGAAGAGAGAAAGAGAAAGAGCGAGAGAGAGATGGAGCGTCTTCCATTCCAACAGTCTATCTCTGGGGGTTTCCATGTGGAAGGGGGAGGCCTGGAATTCTCAGTTGGGTTTGGAGACTCTTAAGCAACGGTGATGGGTTTCTGCGTGTGTCGGACACCCCGGCTGGGCAAAAGAAAATGTTATCTCACTATCTCTCTCTCTCTCTCTCTCTCTCTTATCTATCGTAACTCTACGTGTACCGAGCTCTTACCAGGACGTCTATCTGAGGTTTGTGTCTCTTGGCCAGGTCGATGATGTTGACCCAGTTGTAGTAGATGTTTTCCAGGCAGCCACGGAAGTTCTTCCTCAAAAAGGTCTTCGACTTCCCTGGAACCGAGATCCCTCCGAAGCTAAGCTTTGGACAGAGAAAATTTGGGACACAGTAATGGTGGGAGGCATTCCTGGCACACACACCCACTGACCACAAAATGTCCCAGCCTTGTCCCCTTTAATTGGTGCACAACAGACCCAAGACCCCGAATTCTTCCTTCTCTCAGGCTTAAGTGGAGTCCCCTAGCGTCGTGGTTAGCACGCTCGCCTCACAAGCGAGAGACCCGGGTTCGATTCCCGGGCAGGGCGAAACGTTGGGCAAGTTTCCTCACTCCACACGCCTCTGTTTACCCAGCAGTGATAATAATAATAATAATAATAATAATAATAATAATAATCCTTGCATTTGAGTGACCAAATTTTTTTTTTTTTTGAGGGATTATTATCAGGTGTGTGGAGTAAGGAAACTTGCCCACGAGTGCTCTGACCACTGAGCTACAGGACTCCTAAATAGGAAAGCAGTTGTTGGTCGACTGGCGGATCGCTTCAAAGGGGAAATAATCCCTCGAAAATCAGCCTGGACTGAGTGAGCTCAAACTCACCAACATGGGGGCTTGAACCCAAAACCTTCTGACTCAGAGACTAGTGGAGAGAGTTAGTAACTGAGCCAGACCGACACCTGTGTCATTGCGGGTTACAGGGGACAACGATTGGGGTACGGACCCCAAATTATAATAAAAAATTAGGAAACTTGGTACGCCTCTGACAATCGGGTGATTCTCTACCCACCCCAGGTACCCCCCTCGCCCCACCCAGCCCTTAGACTGGGTATGAGCTCAAAGCCCCTGACGTAGCTTTTTGAGTTCAGGCTGTTTACCCCGTAGTCAATGTCCAACGTGTCAGCGTCGCCTTCGGTGTAGAAGTGACGGACGTCCTTGTCCACTGTGAAGTTCACTCGGTTCTTGTTGCGTTCGATGGTGATGTAATGCCAGTGTTGGTCGTCCAGCAGGCTGCCCAGCACCACTGGGGCCGGGGTCAACCCCAGAGAGGCTCCAGCTGGGGAACACAGAGGGGGAACATGGGGGCGGGGAGGGGAGAACACGGGGGGAAACATGTAGAGGTTAGATGAACACGTGGTGGGGGGGGCCACACAAGAAGGGAACACAGGGGGAACGTATGAGGGGAAGGTATGCAGGGGACACAGAGGGGGAAATCGTTGGGAGGGCACATGTGGATGACCACATGGGGGGTGTGACATGGGGTGGGGGGGGGGCGCACGTGGAGGGAATACACGGGGGAACATATTGGGGGAAACACGAAGGCAAACGCATGGAGAGGGAACACATGGAGGGAACAGGGATGGGGGAAACACGTGGATGGAAGATACGGGGCAATACGGGGGTAAACACAAGGAGGCAATACAGGGAACATGAGGCGGTGGGGGGAAGAAGTGCGGGGAGAGGAAATGGGGAAAAAAAAACACACCATTCCTCACGAGATCCCTCGACGTTTCAAATGAAGGAGGCCTCTTCAACCCTCCAGAACACCAAACCCTCCCTTCCTCCCACCACAGCGTCGAGTCCCAGTGTCCTGACCTCAACCCCCCACCTTCCCGGGTTAACCCCGTTCCAGTCGTTAATGCAATAAGAAACACTTCCCGGTGGCTGTCCTGAAACTGCGACTCTAAACCCGTGTCCTGTGGTTCAGTCTCGGTGCGCATTTAAAGTCTTGTCCCGGGTTTTGGGGGATTTTTTTCTCTCTCCGGTCCCGTTTAAAATCGTTACACCACCACAAGGTCCCCCCTTTGAGACACGGTCACGCGAGACCGAAGAGCCGCGGCTTGTCTAACCGTTGTCTCGTAGCTCCTTCCTCCATATAGCACCGCGAATGCGATGGAGATGCTCTCAAGCTTGCACGAGCTGCCTTATCAACTCCCTGGGGGAAGGGAGTGGGGGGGGTAGGGGTAGGGGGGGAGAGGGTAGGGGGGGGGGAAACTGCGAGGTTTTGCAGCAGATTGGATGTGATGAATAAGGACATTATGGCACGTTAAAGCTAACGCTGCGATTTAATGACAGTAGACGCGATGCAGTGAGATGGAGTGGCACTTGTTGAGGATTATCCGTTCACTCCATATCCATAATCGCTCACTGCCCAACTCACACTTACCTCAGCGCCTTTCGTGTGGGGAGGACGTCCCAAAGAGAACAACAACGACGACGGCGACGACGACAGCAATAACTTGCATTTACACAGCCCCCCCGTCACGCAGAGCGCACGACAGTAGCGGAGCACGGGGAGGGGGGGGGAGTGTGGGGGAGTGGGGAGTGGGGGTGCGGAGTGACCGTAAGCCCGGTCGAAAAGGATGGTTTTTCAGTCGTGATGTAAGAGGGGAAGGAGGGGGCAAGGCAGAGAGATTTGGGGATGTGGGGTGTGAGGTTGCGGGGTTGGGGGGGGGGTCAGTGGACACCCTACACTCACCCAACACCTAACGTCCTGACTAAACTATCAGTGGACATCTTTACCCCTGGGCGTGCGAGGGAATCTCACCCAGGTTGAGCTGCAGGGAGACTTTGCCTTTGCTGAGCTCCAGCGTGATGTAGTCCCCCCTCTGCCCCTCTCCGTGCAGGATCACCCCCTCGCTCTCCGGGCTCCTGAACTGGAGCGAGATCGTGTCCTTCACGGTGCTGACCGTCTTCTGACTGAATCTGTACAGCAGCGAGCTCCGGCCGTCAAAGTCCGCCACGTCCGACTCTGTGGGGGAAAAAAAACGAAACAAACCCGAGCCGCCATTTTATCGAGAGAACGTCATCTCGAAAGCGCCGCGCAGGACGAGCCGTAAAGCGAAGTGACTGCGGGGGAAAAACCTGCGGGCAAAATTTGCGGCCCCGTCCGCACCTGCTCGGGTGCAGGTGAAAGATCTCACGGCACGTCTCGAAAAGAGGAGCGAGTTTGTCTCTCTCTCTCTCTCTCTCTCTGCTTGCATTCATCCGTCGGAAGGAAAATGCCGGCAATTTCGACCCAACCAATTTGGCTGGAGCTCGGCCGGTTTGAACCCTCTCAGGCGCCGGTTGGCACAGCAATCTTCTCATCTCCGTGAAGTTTTCACGAAAGCTTTTTTTAATGCTGTTTTTTTTTGGTGGGGTGGGGGTCAGCCGTTAGCCTGACACGCACGCACGCACGCACACACACACGCGCGCGCGCGCACATACACACGCGCCAATGCCAGCGCTTAACTGACTATTCATAATATTAATAATAATAATAATCCTTGCATTTGATATAGCGCTTTTCACGTCGGGAGGACGTCCCAAAGCGCTTCACAGAACACAGTGTAAAGTGAATTGACTGTATATTTGTGGGCGAACGCGGCAGCCAATTGCGCACAGCAATGTCCCACAAACAGTCGTAGATTGAAAATGACCAATTTATTATTGTTTTTGGTTTTGGAGGGATTATTATTAGGCTCTGTGTGGAGTAAGGAAACTTGCCCAAGGTTTCGCCCTCTGCCTGGAATTGAACTCAGGTCTCTCACTTGCAAAGCGAGTGCTCTAACCACTGAGCTACAGGACTGCACTCATCCCAGACTGAGAGTTCTTGCATTTGATACAGAGCCTTATCACGTCGTCGAGACGTCTCAAAGCGCTTCACGGGATGCGCTGTAAAGTGGAGCGACTGCGTATTTCATGGGCAAAACGCGGCAGCCGATTGCTCACGGCAGCGTCCCCCACACAAACAGCCGTGGCCCAAGCGACCCCGTTTTTTTTTCCCAAAGGGATTATTACCCCCCCAGAAAGCAATCCGCCAATCGACTAACAACCGGGTCCCTACTTACTGCCGGGCAAACAGAGGGCTGCCCTGTCTCGGAGACTTATAAGTGGTTGGATTTTGGCAGAGAATGAATATATACTGCAGTGGGAATAAAACCAAAAGTGGATAATTTCAGGCGTGCAGTATTGGCAAGCAGGTCAGGGCAAGGATGTTATAAGGTGCAGGGAGAAGGTATTAAGGAGACTGATGCACTGATTATTGACTTTAATGAGAAAAGTCAGCCAGGTGAATAATAACTTCATTTATTGTTGATATTTCTTTACATCTCCATTTAGTCGTCAAATCCATCCTGACAGAATAATTATCCGTCCCTCTTGTTAGTACTGGACATGATTAGTGAGCTTGTCAGGCTACAATAGCACAATAGTTTGTTTTCTTATTACATTGCTCTCCAAGGTTTGAGCAAGCGCCGCCCTGTGCTGTACGCCGGGTCCTGTCAGCCTGGCTCTCGCCTCTGAGTCAGAAGGTTGTGGGTACCAGTGAAAAGCGCTGTATCAAATGCAAGGATTATTATCACGACCGCTATCGTTATCACGTCGTCGCGACGTCTCAAAGCGCTTCACGGAATACGCTCTAAAAGGAATATACCGCACCGTGTACTTTGCGGGCGAAACTGTGTCCCACAAACAGCCGTGGATTGAGTGACCCAATTTTTGAAACGATCTGCCAGTCGACTGGTGGGTAAACAGAGGTGTGTGTGTGTACGTGCGTGTGTGTGTGTGTGTGTTTGTGTGTGTGTGGACTAAGGTTTGGCCCCTGCCCAGGAACCGAACCCCGGTCCTCTCGCTTGCGAGGCGAGTGCTCTAACCACTACGCGACAGGGCTCCACGAAATTCGCGGAGTTCAGAGAATTAAATACCACCGGCGGCCGGTGTAAATCTCCATTCGAAACTGAAGGTAAAGCACAGTGGCTGTCAGATCATTATCTGGTACCAAGCTGAGGCTAGGACAGACACATTGGAAAATCCCTCGCAGTTTTGTAACCTGGGCGCTCGCGGCGAGGCTGATAAGGAAGGGAGGGAGAGAGGAAGGGGTGGGGGGGGGGGCGGCGGGGGAATGACGGGGAGATGAGTTGATTTTGTCTGTGACCTTCATTGAGAAGCAGATCTCATTCAATCTGCCCTGATATAAACACTCGCCTTTCAATTATCTTTTAATAAGATTGTCTTCAAGACCATTTATCAGATCGTAGGAAAGTAGTGTGAGACAGCTGACAATAAAATTAGAAGACTCCTCCTCTTTCGCTCTCTCTTTTTCTTTCTGCCTCTCTCTTTCTCTCTCTCTCCTCTTCCCCCTTCCCCTCACTCTCGGCCCGTCCCCTCTCTTTCGCCCCTTCTCTCCCCATCCTCTCGCTTTCTATCTCCACACCTCTCTGCCCACCGCTCTCTTTCCCTCGTGACCCTTTCTCTCTCTTTCTCGCTCCCCCTCTCCCCACCTCTCTCACTCTTTCTCTCCCCCCACCCACTCTTTCTCTCTCTCTCTCTCTCCCCATCCCCCCTTCTCTCTCGTACCTCGGATTAACGCCTCATCCATAGGACGACGCCTCCGACAATGCACTGGATCATCAGCCGAGACTGCATGAGATTATACAGATAGACCGTGTGAGCTCAGAGTCAGGACGTGGGGAGTCTTGAACCCACAGCCTTCTGACCCCGAAGCGAGAACGCTATCGGCTGAGCCAGGGACACCTTACCTGGGTGGGGGGAGGGGGATACTTACTGTACAGACAGCCGTACACCTCCACTCTCATCCCTATCCTCCCGTTGGGGTTCCAGGCGAGAGGAACCAGGCGGAGGAATCGGGCTTTGACGGAGTCCTGAAGGTTGTGATGGACCACCGTGTCTGCGTTGGAGTTTCCCAGGAAGGTCTGGGATGGGGCAGAGGGACAGAGATTACACTTACAAAAAGAAATCACATTTGCGCAATGCCTTTCATGTCGGGATGAGGTGGGAATGACGTCTCAAAGTGCTTTATACTGCTGAATAGGAGTGGGGGGGGGAGTGGAGGAGGTACATCAAAAGTGACCCCCAAAGCACAGTTGAAAAGATTATTAATAGAGAGAAAGAACGAGAGAGAGAAAGAGAGAAAGTAAGAGATAGAGAGAGAGAGCGAGAGAGAGGGCTGTGTACAAAAAAACGATCAAATACTTTATAGAAATTTTTTTTTTAAAAAAAGCTAATTATTTTAGCTCCTGTCTTGTGAATACTCTTGTAAGGATATAATAATGATGATATCATAATAATAATAATAATAATAATAGTAATAGTAATGATATAATAATGAAATAATAAAAAGTAATAATAGAACAAAATAATAATGATATAATGAAATAATAATAGCAATATTGATACAATAATAAAATAACATTGATGTAAGGATAGAATAAGAAAAATATAAGAATGAGGAGGACGTAATAATTATTAGAACAGCAATAATAAAATAATGTAACGGTGGGGGGAGGGGGAGTGAAAAATAGACACAAAACCTTTGCGAAGGTCGGTTTCGAAAGCTGCTCTCGAGTACTGAGAGAGTAGAGATAGAGCTTTACGTTGGCGAAAGCCTTCAGAGGCGAACATCCCAGCCACAGACCCCCCGCGGCAGCGCTCCGAGACGCAATTTCCCGGCGGCCGCATCTTACGTTCAGAGTTCAAAAGTTTGCGGCCAACGCGTTTTCTGCGGGACTCCTTGCCCAAGAGCCCCGCGGCCTTTTTTTGGTTGCCATCGTAAATAAGTCAGCCGCTGCGCTCAGCGGGGCCGAGCGTCCCGCGGAGGGCAACGAGCGGGGCGAAGTCGTTTCCATTGGGGGTCACTTTTCAGCGCCGTGCGCTTCTCTCTCCAGCTTTGTTGTCTCTCAAAGCTGCCCTTGAGGCAGTGAGCGACGGAGAACAGCCATCGCATAACCCACCCCCTCCCAGCGTCAGGACGGAATGAGCTACGAGCAATGGTTAGACGAGTGGCGCTGAGACAGCAGAGCAAGAGGATGCGAGTTTATAAATAATAATCCTCGTGTTGGATTGCAGTGGCCTTGCTTGTCAGGAGGACGTCTCGAGGCACGCCGCTGGGGCTAACTGTGGAGTCCCGCAGGGTGGTGGTTAGCTGGCCCGCTCGCCTCGAGAGGACTCGGGTTCGATCCCCTGGCGCGTCAGCGCAAAACCTTAGGCGAGGTTCCTTCCTCCACACACACACACACACACGCACACACACACACACGCGCACACACACGCCGCTGTTCACCCAGCGGTAAGTAGGAACCCGGTTGTCAGTCGATGGGCACACGGCTTTTCCGGGGGTAATAAACGCCCCCAAAAAAAAGAAATGGGGGGGGGGTCACTCAAACCACGACCGTTTGCGGGGGGGACGCCGCCGTGCGCCATTGGCTGCCGCGTTTCGCCCAGAAAATACACGGTCGCTTCACTTTACTGTGTATTCTGTGAAGCGCTTTGAGACGTATCGACGACGCTGCATCGTATCAAAGGCAAAGATTATTATTATTGTCAGAGGCGCTGCCCTGTGGGGTGAGATGTTGGACCGAGATCTCGTCTGCGCCTGATTCAACCGGACGTTTAAGGATTATTATTATTATTATTATTATAATAATTATTATTAGTATTATAATTTCGGTCTGAGCAGATGGACCGGAGGGAGGGAGGGGTTTGGGTGTGGCGGGGGGGGGGCTCAATACGCACCCACTAAAGGAGATGCAAAGCCCCTCTCCCCACCTCCAAAAAAATTGTTTTTGTCCCACAGATTAACATTCGCGGGAAAAGCAAACCACAGAGAGAAAACGGCTCATTAGATTTAATCGGAGAAACCGTCAGCAGTGTGTCAGAGAGAGGAAATCTTTGGAAATCTTTGAGTGCGTCAATCTGTGCGTCCCGGCTCCCAGAGTCGACAGAACAAAGCCTATTCTCTCGTGCCTAACCCCAAAAAAAACACACACACACACTCTCCAGGCTTTATCCCCGACTTTTCAGTCAAGGCGTATTTTGCCTCCAAGCGAAATAAGCTTTGCTCTCGGATTCCCGTCGAATCTCGACCGACAAACACTCGAAGCCGCTGATGTGGACGGAGTGGACGCGCGCACAGGGACAACACGGGGGGGGATCGGTAACGCAGGAAACTCCTCGCAACTCGACCCCGTCTCAACTTGTCACGACCGCTTGAGCCAGATCGCTCTCAGTGTCCCGGCTGGGTTTATTTATATTGTCCGCCTGTTCCGGTGGACGTTAAAGATCCCGCGGCGCTATTCGAAAAGAATCTCTCTCTGTCTCTCTCGGTCTGTCTCTCTCTCTCTCTCTCTCTCTCGGTGTCCTGGCCCGAAAATCCCCCAAATAAAACTGGTCGCTCTCCCTCCCCGATGACCGTTGGTGGCACATCGCCGTGTGCCGTCGGCTGCCGCGTTTCACCCACAAAATACACGGGAGAGGTGGGATGACTACCCTCGGGGAAAGCGATCTGCCGAATCGATTAACAACCGGGTTCCTACTCGCTGCTGGGCAAACGGAGGTGGTGCGCGCGGAGAGAGGAAACTTGCCTAAGGTCAGGATTAAAAACAAGTGGACACGACCCGAAATAATTAGCGGAAATCACACGTAGTGCTGACACCGAAGCCAATTAAATACCTCGGTCTCCTGGGAGCCACATGGTTCACGCATTGAAACGGAATAAATTTCGCAGCAAATTAATTATTAGGAGCAGTAAACAGTACAGCTATCAGCCAGCCCCAGGAGACGATACCGGCCCTCACTCGCTACGCAACCCCCCACCCCCCACCTATTCGCCTCTCATATACCGCCCTCGACTCCCTTATCCCTCCCATGTATCAAGGAAAAATAATAATAATAATCCTTGCAGCTGATACAGCGCCTTATCACGTGGTCGAGACTTCTCAAAGGGCTTCACAGGTTACACTATAAAGTGCAGTGACTGTGTATTTTGTGGGCGAAACGCGGCAGCCAATTGCGCACAGCAGCGTCCCCCACAAACAGCCATGGAACAAGCGAACCCGGGGCCTCTCGCCTGCGAGGCGAGGGCTCTCACCACTGAGCTACGGGACTCCGCTCTATAAGGTTCCTCAAGTGTTGGGCCTGAGACATGTCTACCAACGCAGTGTCACCACCTCCAGAATGTTCTTACTTACTCACGTTCGGAAGCAGCGCTGCCGAGGACCTCACGTCACGTCACATCTCAACCGAGGGGCTGGTGTCCCTGTGCAGGACAGCGACAGCCAAGCCTGGTACACGTCAGCCAGAATCTTCAGCCCGAGGACTGCCTGAGGCTCCCACCATGTTAGCTGATTTCTCTCCCCCCAGCACCCCCACTCCCCCCCAACCCCTGGGGTGTCTCTGCCCCCTCACCCGCAGCCCCCACTCCCCACGAGGACATCTCCGTCACGCTTTCCAACCAACTCGTGACGTCTTCGGCTACAAAGGCTGACAGACACCTCACGGCACTGACCGATGCCCACTTTGAGACGTTGCGACGTGACTGAGGTTCTCAAGCTATCGAACACAAGCTATAATTATTATTAATAACAATATTAACAATTAATAAGCCCTCCGCAACCCCCACACAAGCCACCGAGGCACATGTACACAGCGCCTTTACACAGGCGAGGAATATCCCGACTACTACCGCTACAATAACATGTGAAATAATAATAATAATAATGATCCTCGCGTTTGAAACAACAGCGCCTCATCACGTCTTCGAGACGCCTCAAAGCGCTTCACGGGATACACTTCAAAGTGGAGTGACTGTGTATTTTGTGGGCGAAATTGCCCTCCATAACGTACAGTCAGTACACGGGAAGTTACTGTGAAAGGCGATGCTTCAAGTAATGATGATAGTGATTCCTGTTATTATTAATAGTCCTAATAATCCATCGCTCTTTACTCTAGAGAGCGACTTGCTGTGTTAACTGCCAAACTGCAGTGTTGCGCCTGGCGATGCAGGTGAAACATACAGCAGGACACGAGCTGCGATAACACTGCGCGGATTAACCAGGGATTTTATTTAGGAGGGAGAGAGAGCGAGAGAGAGAGAGAGAGAGAGAGAGCATAAATATAAATGAAAGCCGCTTCCATCGCACCAATCTGCTCCCTCTCTGAGACCGAACAAAACCACGAGCTCGCAGGACAGTTTGCAATGTGCGCGGTGTATGTTTGTGGGCTCTTGTGTGTGTGTGTGTGTGTGTGCGTTTGTGTACACGTATGTGTTTGTGTCTGTGTGTGTGTGTGCATACTCGGGTGATTGTGTGAGTCTGTGTGCGCGCGCGCGCGTCTGCGCGTGTTCAATACAGCGGCTTAGCACATCACCGAGATGTCTCAAAGCGCTTCGCAGGATTTACTGTCAAGTGCAGTGACTGTGCGTTTTGTGGGCGAAACGCGGCAGCCAATTGGCGCTCAGTGACATCCCTTCCTTTGGGCGAGCGACCGGTTTTAATTCGGAAGGAAAACCAGGAGAGTCTCAGGGCTTTACAACCTTCGGGTTGAGTCAATAACATGGAGGGATACGACGCTGAGGTTAGGCTGGTGCTACAGGAGTGTCCATTGCGCTGCGGTCAGTCAACGAAGGAGTCGGAATGAAGCTCTGTTTCAGTCCAGCACTGCCCACAAGATATTGATTGAGGTTAACCTTGTGTAACGTAAACCTTTCTCTCTCTCTCTCTCTCTGGTGGCAGCGCTAAGAACACGGGTGCACTGAGGCATCAGAGCAACGGCTGGCGATTGACAGGCCGACACGGCATCCAGCGAACGAGCCAATATTGCCTCAACAGTCTAAGCTGACGCTCCAATGCTGCGCTGGGCGGGGGGGGCGGGGGGGTGGGGGGGGTTGGGGGGGGAGCGATCGGTGCCACGGGATCTT